TTGAAGTTTTCATGAAGACTTCAAGAATATCTCATGAAGTATGACTTAACATTTGGCAGGGGCAACAGGAGTGAAGGGTTTTAAGCAGCACGATTTTCAGCATGTGGAACATTATTTCGTTTATTTTTTGAATGTCCAGTCTGACAATGTCCCAGCATTTATAGGCGTAGAAGTAACCAAAGAGCCCTCATTTAGCATATTTTTAGCACTGAATAGCACTTGGCATTATCTTCATGTGAGAGTAGGGTGAGAGAAATGACAAAATAGCCTTTAGCTATAGAACTAAAATAAGTCTGATTCAAACCAGTAATTGCTATTTAATTATGTATATTTAATGATATTACTAATTGTAACATCCTATTGCTAATTGTTTAACCTACGGACAACTACTTATGAATGAAATAATGTGCATAAATTTGTATAAATGAATTTGCACAAGGGAAGTGTATGCCCACATTTTGACCAAAATTATCCCACGCGTAACTGACAGATGTGTAAATGAATGCTTCAATTTGAGCACCCCAGATAATGATTCAGTTTAGGTGAGGTGTACTGTCCCCATTCTGTCTGAAGGGAATCTTGTCAAAATTCTATCCAGTGCATTTCCTTTTAAGGTGCAAGAGAATAATTTAAATGAAATTTGATTTAAGGAAATTATGATGATGAAAGTCAAAGTTTGAACCTCTGATTGTCAGTTTTACGATTGTCAAGATCAAAGTATTGAAATTAAAGCAGCTAGCTAGCTAAAGCAGTATTGAGTCATGCCATATTGCACCAACATATTGATGTTATCCTTAAATTAAATCATGCTCACTACCTTAAATGGGCTGGTCCATCTTTCAATCTGGACAAGACCATTGATCATTTTAGGGGAAATAGCATCAGTGCAGACCATAAGTTCAGTGTGCACAAGTCACATAAGCACATATTAAGTAATATTAGTTGTCTGCTGCTCGATAAATGTTTATTGAATACTGGTTGAAAAGTCAGAGCTAGGGTCAGTTATTCTATAACGGGGATCAATGTATATCAACTGTATTATGGCCAGGAAACACCCAAACTATTACAAATATACTAATTGATAGTGGTTTTTCTATAAAAATATGGCTTATACCTTAAGCAAATCTGTTTCCCAAAAAGCATGTTGACTTCTCTCTTCTCTTCTCTTATTCGCTTCTCCTCTTCTCTTCTCTTCTTCTCCTCTCTTCTCTCCTCTTCTCTCTCCTCTTCTCTTCTTCTCCTCTTCTCTTCTCTCCTCTTCTTTCTCTTCTTCTCTTCTTCTTCTCTTCTCTTATTCTCTCCTCTTCTCATCTCTTCTCCTCCTCTTTTCTTCTCTCCTCTTCCTCTCCTCTTCTCTTCTTCTCCTCTTCTCTTCTCCTCCTTGTCTCTTCTCTTCTTCTCTTCTCTTCTTCTCCTCTTCTCTTCTTCTCTTCTCTTCTTTTATTCTCTCTTCTTTTATTCTCTTCTCTTCTCTCTTCTCTGACAGCATTATGACAATCACATGTCTTTTTTCGAGACTAGCACAGCCTGCATATTCAGCATTTTGTCATTGAAAATCTTTCAATCTACATGAAAGACCCAAGTTGCCAATTTTACACAAATCTAGGATTGTGAATAAGGTTGAATGCAAAGCTAAGAGCTAACCACACAAAAATATTTGCATTTAGTTTTGCAATCACACATGTTTTCAGCATATTGCGAAAAATCTCTCTTTAAATGTTATTTCGCCCATTCTTCAGTATTAATTATATACTGTGATTATTAGCTTAGTTAATTAGATAATTAAATTATTACAGCAATTTAATTGATTTGAAACGAGTGAAACTTGATAGGTTTCACATGGAACTATGATTTACAGAGGCTTAAAATAGGGGTTATATTTTAAAGCTGACCTATCGAGAAGATCTGCTCTCTTGTCAATTTCTTTTCAAGTTCTGATGTGATGGAATGCAGGAAATATTTTCTTAAAATGAATGGAGGCTTTATGTAATGACAGCTTAATCAATTCATTGATGTACATCATTATCATCTTTATGCTGCAATTATGTAATCTATTTGTAGAGTGGTACATATTTATGCTAATTAAATAAATAAATATGTCTGACAACCTCATCAGCAGAAAAGTTTCCTTCATTTAGTTTGACAAGTTTTAGAAACTTGTGGTTTATTTCCAGTAAGAAAATTAATGTTTCTACCTGTTCTGGATAAGAATTTTCGCCAATGCATTTTTGTTGAAGTCAAGTCACAAGGAGTTTCCTTAGACAAATGGTTATGGTCATTGACTTTAAATCACTTTCCCCTCACATCTGTATGTTTGATACTCATCAGGGAAATTAAGCCAGCTTATTAAAGGTCAGTGACTCTACCACTTTACCCGTTGTGCATTATTTCGGGCATGTGCAAGTATCTAAGGCCATCCATCTCCGCGCAGCACCTGAGGCTATCCATCACCGTGCAGGCACCTGAGGCCATCCATCACCGTGCAGGCACCTGACGAAACAAACTAACAAAATCAGTGAGAGTATTAAATCAGTAGGCATTAAGCCAGTGTTACACAGTGTTAAGCCAGTGTTAGAGCCAGTGTTACAGAGTACTAATTAAGCCAATGATAGAATCAGTGTTAAGGGAGCTAAGCCAGTCTTAGGGGCATTAAGCCAGTGTTACAGAGTTTTAAGCCTGAGTGTTAAGGGAGCTAAGCCAGTCTTAGGGGCATTAAGCCAGTGTTACAGAGTTTTAAGCCTGAGTGTTAAGGGAGCTAAGCCAGTCTTAGGGGCATTAAGCCAGTGTTACAGAGTTTTAAGCCTGAGTGTTAAGGGAGCTAAGCCAGTCTTAGGGGCATTAAGTCAGTGTTACAGAGTTTTAAGCAAGTGTTAAGGGAATTCAGCCAGTCTTAGGGGCATTAAGCCAGTGTTTGAGAGAATGAGGCCTGTGTTGAAGAGATTAAGGCTTTTGTAAAAGGACATTATCCTATGAACAAACTCCATGATGTTCTCTGATCAATTTTGTTGCAACTATGTTTTTCTTTTCTTGAGAATTATTGTTGTGATTTGTTCTGAATATAATGAATTGTTTGTTTGTTGCAAATAATTGAAATAATAAACATTCAGACATTATAATGTAGATAAACATTATTTTTTACATTAACTATTTATGAATTTTATAAATAATTTATATCAAATCATTTATCATACAGAAATTGGAGGATATGTTCGTTGAAGTAGATGAATGATTGATACACAGTTAGTATCATCCATCAATTATATCATAATTTTATATCTCTCTTACAAACCTTTATTACATACAAATGTAATAAATGTATGCTATAAAACAAAATAAACCAGGAAAGTAAATAACATTCTCTACATAAAGACATTTGTTTTTTGTATGACCTTGTCTTTGACCTTGTCACCAATGTTCATAGGTTATTGACATGGTTAATGGACAAACATTTCTGTCATATCAATACAGGGACCATTGTATTTGCATGTTCATTTATATGTTGAGTTGACAACAGCCTCTAATTGCCATTCAAAACCAGCATTTATCCATATTAAGTCATTACAACATTTTTCCTTATCAAAGCCATTACCTTATGTTTCCTTATCAAAGTCATTACCACATTTTTCCTTATAAAAGTCATTTTCCACACTTGTCTTTATTAAAATCATTAATTAGTCATTATCACACTTATCCTTACCAAAGTTATTATCACACTTGTCCTTATCAAAGCCATTACCACACTTGTCCTAACCAAAGTTATTGCCACACTTGTCTTTACCAAAGTCATTACCACACTTGTCCTTACCAAAGTCATAACCACACTTGTCCTTATCAAAGTCATTACCACACTTGTCCTTACCAAAATTATTACCATTTTCTATCAAAGTCATTACCACATTAAACTCATCTTGTCCTTACCAAAGTTATTACCATTTCCATATCAAAGCCATTACCACACTTGTCCTTAACAAAATCATTACCACACTTGTCCGTAAAAAATATATTACCATTTCCCTATCAAAGTCATTACCACACTTGTCCTTATCAAACTCATTACCACACTTGTCCTTATCAAAGTCATTACCACACTTGTCCTTACCAAAATTATTACCATTTCCCTATCAAAGTCATTATCACACTTGTCCTTAAAAACGTTATTACCATTTCCATATCAAAGCCATTACCACACTTGTCCTTATCAAAATCATTACCACACTTGTCCTTAACAAAGTTATAATACCATTTCCCTATCAAAGTCATTATCACACTTTTCCTTAAAAAATTATTACCATTTCCATATCAAAGTCATTACCAATTTTGTCCTTATTAAACTCATTACCACACTTGTCCTTATCAAAGAAATTACCACACTATTGTTCTTACTTAAGTTATTACCAGACTTTACCATATCATAGTCATTACCACACTTGTCCTTATCATTACCACATTCTGTTTATTTGCTACCATAATTATGGACTTCAGGTTTGTTTTCCAAAGTTACTGGCAATTTGAAAATCATTCAGTGTGGACTCGCTTCAGATTGCCATGTTTCTCTTTGTTTATATATTCAGGGAAGTCTTTTATTAATAAACAGATATTATAAGACTTGTCACTGAATTTATAATTCAATAAAATTTGTTTGTCACTATAATTAATTTTGATTGAACAGGATTTTTGTTGCTAATAACAAACAACATTGTTTTAATTAATATAAGGCTTTGTTGATTTCGAAGAATGACTTTACAAAAGCTTAATTATTAGAACACAATTATCTTAATGAAAACAAGTGAACAGTTTTCCATTGAGATATTTACTACTTCCTTGTGGTTGATATAAGGCTTTTAATTTTTGAAATATGACAGACTTTGTGTTTTGTTAGTTTATATTTCATTTTCGTGACTGACATTTTTAGTGGTTAAAGTTGACAGAAATGGAAGACTAAAAAACTAAAATAGTATACAAATTGTGAATAAATTAAACCTGCAGTCATCTAGATTATCACGGAGGTCACCTCTTACATCATTATTGCAGGTCACGAAAACAAATCACACATTATAGAAAGTGAAAAAATTTGTTATCAATTGATTTGCAAATTTATAAATGTTTGTGAATTGTAGTGGGCTAGTGTGATAATTTTAAAGTTTTCATCAAATTGAATTTTTTTTGGTTAATTCACATGAAGCTGTAAGAAAAGCATATGTAAGTAATAAGATTTAGATTTACTAATAAACAAGTTAAACTATCAACATTGGTTACATATTTATAAGTATTGAATTGAGATATTTATGTTATGTAAATGATATTTGAAATTATAAAAAAAAGGGATTCATTCTATCATTTGGGATCACTTCTCTGTCATCTATCCGTCTGTCTGTCTGTCCATCACAAAACTTGTCCAGCCTTCTCTTCAAAAACTACTGATGCAATTTCAGCCAAACTTTACAAGAATAATCAGTACTGAGTCTGGTTGTCAATATCGGCAGTGTTATCCAGTTCAATGATTTTTGTCAGAAAAATGGCCCTTTAATCATGATTTTAATTTCTAAAGTTTGTATATACCGCCTCCGTGGTCGAGGTATTAGGATCGATGACTTCTAATCCAGTTACTTCTCTGGCGTGGGTTTGATCCCCGGGAGATGCTTTGGTTGTTTAGCGTGGAGGAAGGTAGTAGTAGTACTGGTGTAACTCTCCAGGAACGATGGTTAGGAAACTGCCTAAATGACTGAAATACTGTTGGGAAAAGGTGTAAAATGAAACAAACAAACAAACAAACTAAAGTTTGTTTGAAGTACTTTTAGTACCCACTTATGCAATTTCAGTGAAACTTTACATGATTAATTTGTAGCTCAAGTTCTTTGGCATATTACATGGGTTTTCTGGTTGATTGATTTTGGGCTGAGTTATGGCCATTGAAGGAAAAGCAAGTTTTGCCCAGTAATTTTTGTGTCTCCTGCTACACATGCAGTTGGCTATCATGAGGCAACACATGTGATCACTGATCACTCTTGTTTTAGTATATTTTTATTAGAAATTAGCAAAATTTAAAAGAAAAGAAAAAGAGTGAGACATAATTTGACAGTTTATAAATGCAAAGCTTATTTGAGGATATTTATACTTGTAAAGATTGCATAAATCTGTTGATGTTTTTTGTGAGATTGTTTAAAACATGAGATGAAATTATATGAAAAATTACGATAGTCTTTCCAGGCAAGAGATGATTATTTGGAAAGGATAATCTTTCCAGGAAGTTATTTTCAAGGGCTTGTTTAAAAAAAAGTTCTGATATGTCCTTGGTTTGAAGTTTATATCTTATACAGATTATTGCTGTTTCCAGTGAATGATTTTAAAGTGTATTTTATTATTTAACAGCTGTTAAATAAATTTATATATGAATATACTTTAAATCATAAATAATGTTTTGTGAATCATAAATGTTTCATTTAATCGCATATTCCCATATCTTGATTTCCTTAATTGACAATTTCTATCCCATTACCCATTTATGAGAGAATTTTGTCATAAGTGACTGATCTTCCGTATTTTATTGGGATGTTTATAACATATAGATAGATACCTGTGTTGATAGTGATAAATTTGGGTGAAAAAACCCACACTATCAACACTTCCTCGTTTTTGTCATGATTTTCTCCTCATTTGAAATGCATGAAATATTTCTTTAATAGTTGAAATGGTTTCCATGTCATAAATGATCTAAAATAACTGAATGGTCTTTCCCCCTGAAATTTAATAATTTCAGAATATATTCTTGGAATTTAGTTGAATATTATATTTTTCAAAAATTTCATTTTTAAGATAAAACTGCATACAATTTTACAATGAACATACATGCCAGTTTTGAATTGTGAGCTTCCCATTACTATTATAAAGGGGGCTTCATTATTCAAGAAGCTAACATTACCTCATATTTATCTGTTGAAACCAAAATGTTTAAGCCTTTGGTCAGGTTAGCCTACACTTCCTTGGCAGTGTTGGTACCTCAGTTTCTGAATTTTGATATTGAAATCCCTTAAATTTCAAATAGGCTGTTCCAAAATTAAAGCAGAATAAGGTAATATTTACAACAAGAGTTTGGTAGCAGTATTGACCAAACTGGCTAGAAACAGGTGGCATAGCTTATAACAGTTATTTTGATTCAACTGGCTTGATACAGGTGACATAGCCAATGCCTACTTTCATATAACAGTACGCTGTTTTGACTCATCTGCCTAAATACAGGTGGCATAGCCAATACCTACTTTCATATAACATTAAGCTGTTTTGACTGAACTGCCCAGATACAGGTGGCATAGCCAATACCTACTTTCATATAACAGTAAGCTGTTTTGACTCAACTGCCCAGATACAGGTGGCATAGCCAATACCTACTTTCATATAACAGTAAGCTGCTTTGATTCAACTGGCTTGATACAGGTTGCATAGCCAATATCTACTTTCATATAACAGTAAGCTGTTTTGATTAAACTGGCTTGATACAGGTGGCATAGCCAATACATACTTTCATATAACAGTAAGCTGTTTTGATTAAACTGGCTTGATACAGGTGGCATAGCCAATACATACTTTCATATAACAGTAAGCTGTTTTGATTAAACTGGCTTGATACAGGTGGCCTAACCAATACATACTTTCATATAACAGTAAGCTGTTCTTACGCAACTGCCCAGATACAGGTGGCATAGCCAATGCTTACTTTCATATAACAGTAAGCTGTTTTGACTCAACTGCCCAGATACAGGTGGCATAGCCAATACCATCTTTTATATAACAGTAAGCTGTTTTGATTAAACTGGCTTGATACAGGTGGCCTAACCAATACATACTTTCATATAACAGTAAGCTGTTTTGATTAAACTGGCTTGATACAGGTGGCATAGCCAATACATACTTTCATATAACAGTAAGCTGTTCTGACTCAACTGCCCAGATACAGGTGGCATAGCCAATGCTTACTTTCATATAACAGTAAGCTGTTTTGATTAAACTGGCTTGATACAGGTGGCATAGCCCATACATACTTTCATATAACAGTAAGCTGTTTTGATTAAACTGGCTTGATACAGGTGGCATAGCCAATACATACTTTCATATAACAGTAAGCTGTTCTGACTCAACTGCCTATAGTCAATCATCTGCCTATTGTCAATACCTACTTTCGTTTCACAGTGTGTTTTGATACAGGTGGCATGTTAGTCAATACCTTCTTTCATACAACATTATGAGTGTTTTTGTATATTGTGTACTTTAATTTAAACTCAGGATATAAATGTTAGTAAAAGTGCATCTTCTCAGAACATTTCTGAAATAGAAATATTATAAAGTGAAGTTTATTTATTTTTTTACTCAACCTTCAGATGCTATAATATGCATTGACTCTATAATCTTTTTATTTGTTTAAGTATATTATAAGTTTATTTGAGAAAGAGGCTTTTCCCCAAATGTCAAGAAAAGTGACAAAAGATGAATTTATTGCAAAAATGATAGAGACTGCATTATTTAGTAACTTTTATCATCTTGATGCAAAACCCTACATTTAGCAGCTTCTAGGCAGAAAATAACATCAGAAATCTTTGATCCGACTGGATATGTAGAACCAAAATAACTTATATCAAACAAAGGGTAACTGTATTTTATAATGGCTTACTGTTGGATATTTTTAGAAACAAGAAAAATGATTTTTATTCCTTTGAAATTATGTAATTATTGCAACTTTTTAGATGTTATTACATTGTAAATATAACTCGTTAAAATCCATGGAGTAGTACTTCTTTTGCATCAAAACATAGAATAGGCATCTTGAGTCCCAATTTTAATATAAAAAAAACAAGACTCTTATTTTCTTTTTGAGAATGTATATTTTTAGTTCTTTTTA